GGGGGGGGGGGGGGGGGGGGGGGGGGGGGGGGGGGGGGGGGGGCGCAGAAGAATTAGTGTGGTTCGAAAATGGATGTCTAGGCGTAAACAAGCTCGGTAGCATGATGAAAGAGCTCAGCAAAGCGGCCAATCTTTCTCAAGGTTATACCAATCACTGCATCAGGGCAACAGCTATAACACTGTGGTTGGATGCTGTATTGTTAAACGCCACATAATGACGCTGTCAGACCACAGGAATGAAAATTCTCTCGAGAGCTACAACGCTCGTCGGTGTGCGTTAATGTTCTCTCATGTGTGTACCCTGAATCCACAAGCCACACAAGCCGATCTGCAAATGCAGGTGTTTTAAGGGAACCAGCAGCAACTTCAACAATCTGGACATGCTGCTTGTGCTAGGATTCCTAGCAAACCTTTACGAGGCATCATGACTTTTCCGACAGCTATACTTAAACGGAACAACACTATCACTGTGAAAATTTCAGGTAGCTCTGAACTTCCTCGTAGAATTTTTTAAACTTCGCAAAAAGTTGCATCTTATTATGCATATAGCAATTTAATAATAATGTCAGGCCATAAAGATTATCCTTATTGATTCACCAATGGCTGGGGCATTTATGTGATACCAACAATGTAGCATTACTTAATAAACGGTGGTAGTATTGATCCGTCAAAGTATAGTTACTGGAAAACTGCTGGAAACTGTTGCCAGCTACCTTACGTTTGACTACAAATTTACTTTAGTTAGCTTTAGCTGGAATTTACACGTAATTTTTACGTTTTACAAAGATGAGAAGGTTTTTTCCTCGTCTTGCTGCATTTCTCAAAACTGGCGTTTTAAGGCATTTTGTCTTAAGTTATCAAATATATAAACTAGAAGAGAGGCGATGAGAATGCTCCTAACTTGATTCTCATAAATAATATTGAACAAATTCCTTCTTAAGTATGAATTAATATTTGGAACTGAAGCTTGGTTTGCAGCGTAGCGTGAAAGAGTTTCAAACTTTTTACCCAACAATATCCCGATGCAACGGCCAAAATCGTTATCTGTTTCTTTTGTTCAGTGCAATCGCTCTAATCTTAACGATATATCACATATTTGAACAGTGTAAAAAGCACCAAGCACCCGACAAGAATCTTGCGGTTAGTTGGAAGAGCAGCATCGTTACAGAAGTCATAATCGCAGCACTGCATATCACAGTTTTCCGCTTGGCTAATGAACTTGCAAGCCATTGTGTTGCAATAATCACCTTTAAAACAACCCCGCTCGTAAACATCAAACTTTAACCCCATGTAGTCGAAAGAGGCCCTTGATTTGGCGCACACGTCCAGCCACGGTTCACAGATATACTTTTGTTGTTGTTCATCACAGTGAGTCCAGTTGACTTTAGAATAGCAACTGTAACACGTCAACGAGACACCTGAAAACGGTAAAAACATATTGGAGCGATGAAAATGTAATTTCTTCTCACGAGGTCAGCACATTATGAAGTAGACAGATGAGGACAATATAAGAAATAATCAAGTTGCACTACTTTTTGATACAATACTAATTGTCAGCAGGTCATACTGAAATTTATGTACAAGTCAGTGATGAGAATCTGCATTACGAACTTATTCAGGTCAGTCATGAAAACGGCCACCTGCTGTGTTTTTGACAGTGTTTATGAGCGTTGAAACTACTGCAACCGTTGTAACTAAGAAGATGCAAATTCAGCCAGAGAGCTGTAAAGTTAATACAGTTATTGATTATCTCTAGTAAACGTACGACTGCATGTTCACGTATATATCGACAGGGTGATCCTTGACGAAGAGTATCACATGGCGTCGAATTTTTTATTGAAAAGGATAATTCTTTCCACTCTTTCTCTTCATCGATCTGAGTTTTCACTTCAAGCAAATGAAAATTTGTCTTTTTATTACCTTTCGACTGACCTGCTTGACGGTAAAGGGGGTAGTTTTCTTGTCCCGTGACAAAAAACCCCAGTTTTTCCCAAGTAAATTGTCGGAAATGAATTGTTAATGAAGTGTCCTTATTACATTTACACATGTGCAAGATTATCACGATTTTCCAAACCACTGCGTCAATTTCCCGGCAATTTCCGCCGAAGATACGGGTTTTGAATTACTGAAATAAACCTGTAGATTGTTTTGCAAGTTTTGGAATATAATGTACGTTTGGGTAAAGGATGATTTTTACCTCCGCTGATAGGTGCCCGCAAGTGCGTGTTAATTATCAAAGAAGTAATCTCGTTTTGTTTGAAGCACGTAAATAACATTTAAGTTTCTTGCTGCAGTCGCAACAGACGATGTAGTCAATATTAAGCCACTTTCGTAATGTGGATAACAAGGAATTGAATAGCTTCTCCCGCTATACCTGGGTGCAGCAGTCGTTGTGTTGCGCAACCTCGGCGGTTGCACATTGTTTAGTTTAATGTTTACGCGTTGAAATTATAATTTGAAATCCGAAATGCATTACTTACCAGTTTGTAAAATCGCTGAGAAGATAATGAGCTTGACTGCAACTCGCATGTTTACTTGGTTATGGTCTTTCGGCAAGAATATTAGTAACTGACTACATATCGACAACGCCCTGCAGTGCATTGAAGCGCAAGGCATTCTGGTTTAGGAATCTCTGCGCTGAAGCGAGTCGCAGCACGGCTCTTTGATAAACATCCTGATTCGTGTGAAAGAGTGCACCGAGTTTCTGACGGTAATTGTCGAATATAAACGAGCGCTTTCCGACAATCGTGCCTCGAGGTATACTTCATGAAACCTGGAAATCCACTGTACTGGCAAAGAAAACACAACTGCTCGCGGGCTCACGCAATTCTCCTAGCTGGCGGAGGAAGAGCGGAGAGGCACTCTTGCAGCCATCAACAGTATAGAATTTTCTGTTGTTATCCATTGTGACTGGTCTTCGTTCCTTGGCCTTGTTAACACGAAGGGGAAGAGGACGGCTTCGCTGGAACGAAGTCAGAGGAGGTCGGAGTTTAGACATGCTTTTGAGTGGGAAAAAAATGTAGGCTCTTTCATCGTGCATTTCACGCCAGCAATACTTCTTGCTAACCGAGTTCTAGCCTGCGTAGCAGTCTTTTCCGTTTCCTTTCAGGCAAGTGGGAGTCGCGCGAGGGCAAGGGGACAGAGGTAACAAAAAAATTAGTGGCAGGGGTGAGGGGCAGGGAAGGAAAGGAAAAGCTCGCTGCTGAGGCCAGACATTTTACCGAACGCCCCTAATTACTTTCGCTCCCTAGGGGCGTCAACTGTCACGTCAACTGTCACATGAGACCCAATCATATTGACTTCCGGTAAAATAAAAACCGCGAAAATTTTAGCGCTAAAGTCAGCAGGGTAAGTTTTCGCGGCTTGAAAAATGTAGAGGTATGGCATCCGATAATTGCCGTGTTTGTTAGTGCTCAAACGAAGTGTGGAAGTTTCTCTCATTAGGAAGGATATTTATCTGGGGAAAATCTGTTCAAGCCTTTCAACAGAAAAGATTGTCGTGGAGTCGTGTTAGCAGAAGTGTTGAAAAAGACTGGCATTTCCATCGAACGTGACGAAAATTTTTCAGATCGCGTTTGCAAACCCTGCGTAAGGAAAATTCGCAATCTGGGGAGTCTGTATACTTTGATGGAATGAATATCACAGAAAACCCCAGAAAAACGGAAGCAGTCCACAAAAAGACTGTTTGGAGAGCGTACTCCCGATGAAAGAAACAAATCTCTGAGTGGGAAGGTCCAACGCGTGAAATCTGTAGGGAAAATTACTTCGTCTTGAAGTATAGCTGAGTAAAGTGTTGACAGGCCAGACACGATTCATAGGCTCGTCGCGTGAAGAGTGACCTCTAGTTATAGTGACCTCTCGTTAAAGTTTTGCTCACACGAGTATATCTCTTAAAGATTTTCCTTTTTCATACGAGATAAGTGGAGGTTGTTTGAATATTTCTCTAAGCAATAGTTGGTTTTGAATTAAATGCCATTTGCTCATCAAGATGTTTTTGAGGTTATGCAACGCCGGGTGGTATGTTGTTACAAAAGGCAGAATTTTCTTTCGCACTTTAACGGTTTGTTGTAAAGCCGACTTCCGTTCAGAATTCGCTGTCAAACCGATTGATCTTGCTTCTGCTATCTGGTCTTCCATTAAGCTTCGAAGAGGACAGATAACTAAAATTCAGGCAGAGTCTTCTGACTCTTTGACACGAACGAAGAATTGAAATATGGCACTTTTGCCAAAACCAGTTGGTAAAACCGCCAGAACATCTTTTC